TTACGATATAATAAAAATGTAAGTTTCCTAAATTGGTATTTCCTTCTTTTAAATAACAGTTGTTTAGATTTGTATTTTTAACCATGTTGTATACCATCACGATAATCTCCGTTAAAATAAATATTATACATAAGTACATATGCTGATGTTACATATGAAATATGATGATGGTGACTCTACAAGATGTTGAAAAAATCGCATTTCGAAAATTAAAATGTTTCTTTTAGACGCCCTATAAGTGTCCGAATCAAATCAAACCATACTTGTTTGAACTTTCTTAAGATATTTTATTTTCCATTCTTTTTTAAAGCCATGGCTCTTCTCGTTTCAAAGAAAAAAATTTTTTTTTATTTTTTAGCTTGACGACATAATTCCCGAACCACGTGGTAACAGAAGTTAACATAATATGTAATTTAATATTGGATTATGGTGTAACATGTGCGAAAATGAACCCTATATTGCTGGAAGCATCCTGCCATACAAATAGGCCATGGCCTTTAACCGTTTGAAGCAAATATTTTACCTTACATACCAATTTCTTCAAACTTTTTATACAAGAGATTTTGGGGTCGCTGATTACGAATATGGAGTCAAATTTTAAAACTTTTCAAAATACAAAATGGCGGACCCAACATGAAAATGTAAAAATGATCCCGATCATTAAAAGCGTGTATTCAGGGAAAGTAAAAAGATGGAACAAGAAACTCCCTACATCCTTGTCGTCCTCGTCCTTAGTTCTGAGTAATGCTAATTGCGAGAATTCTTAGAGATTTTCTATTTGCCATCACGTTTGACTGCAATTTTGAATTTTGTAATTGTCAACATATTCGTAATTAGCTACCAAAACTTTTTAACCTAAAGTTACATACAAATCAAATCACCTTCTGACCTCCAATACGAATTATGTGGTCTCAAAAATCTATGACTCTATTACCTAATAAATAGAATATTGTTACCTAACAAACAACATAATTTCACTGGTTGTTACATAATAATTCATTCAATACTAGGAACTTAAATGTGTGATTAAAGTTATATTGGCTTATTGAACAATATGTAAAAATCATAAAAATCCGAGTAGGGAAAGGAGCCATATGAGTATTGCACTATGCCGGAAAGAGTTAAAAATAATATTTTATAACATTTTAAAAATATTAGAAGAATCTAACTTAACTATATATATACAAGTTATAATAAACTTTAGTAAGTCTTTCTGTGGGAATCTCTTTTCTAAATTTTAAGAAGGTAAGAAAGTAAAGACAACAAAACTTAAAAGTGAATGTATGTTTTATCAACGAAGTGATTATTTATTCGTGAATATTATGAAATTTAATAAAGAATATAATATAATAAAGAATAATGTTGAGAAATTGCGGAAACAATTATAACTAAGTTGCAAATACAATTATGTTCAAGTAGAATATAAAATCACAATGAAAATCAAACTAACGAGAAAATAATCGGATCTTGATTTTCTGTTCGGCTTAGATACATTTTGGCGTACCAGCTTGGCTGAAAAGCCAAGGCTTAAGACCGTTGATACTGTAACATATGTGAGGCATTTATCAACAGCCGTATAAAATTTTATTCGTATAACATAAATTTCATATAAACGTTCCTAAGGCAGAGCGATACAATTATTAATGCTGTGACCATTCGAACTTGTTAGAATAGAAAAGGAAAGTATAATAAGTAAACGTAATCTCGAAACCGTTCCCAAACTGAAAAGAATTCTGAACGCTATTACATATTTACTGAATTTCTTGTTGTCTCGTTTGTATTATATAAATTCAGAAGAAGACAACTAAATGAGTATTACGATAATAAATCTCACCAGTCTCGTAATTTCTGTATGGTTTATAACTTCGAAATTTATTTTCTATAAAACGATGTTCTCTAGGAACATACATGACTTCTTGAATCTTCTTTATGCTCTCTTCTGCTTCATTTTGTGACGCAGTGGTGAAAAAAAACGGACATGTACGATCTTGTGTTTTGATGAAAATATCTAACATTGGACTCTCCATACTAAATTCTGCTTGAAATGCAATAATGATATTCGCTTGCTTATACAAATTTGTGCGAATATATTCCTCATATGACACACTTGCATTTCCAAGATATAGATGCCTTTTTATTTGGACGCATTCGCTGCAAACACTGTAGTATTCATTCCTGTCACAATCCGTTTCTGGTGCAACCAATATAACTCTTAATTCCATAATTTTATTAATCGAAAATTTATGTTTATTGAAAATATGTAAGAAAATTTCCCATGATGGTAAGCCCGTTATATCTGCTGAACTCGCACCTATGATATGTACGATAAAGAAAAAACTTCTGTGACCGTTAATAAGTTTATATTCTTCTCTATAAATCTGTGCTTGTTCAAATATATTTACGAATTCCTTTAATCCGTACAATAGGGTCAGTGGAGCTGATATTAAATTCGACAACATGTAACATTGCTTACTCCAAGCTCCCATGATTAAATAGTGTTTACGAATATATTGATTAACAAACGTAATCATGTCATCAAAATCTATTTTTATTTTGGTAAGCCTCATTTCTATTAGACACGTATTTATATCATCGTTGCATACATTTAAAATATTGAAATTTAGGAATAGCAATAACTTTTTGCACATTGACTCGTGTTTTTCTTTAAAATCCCATTGGTGCTCGTCACAATAATTGGCGGAATAGCAGGTCCTGCAAGTTCGCAGACTAATCTGTTGATGACAAATGAGACATGATTTTGCGCATATTATCATCTCTTTCTCGTACGGCTTTAGATCACGTGTCATTTTCATCTGAATTCCTTGCATAAATGTCTTTCGAGATGACCTCCATTCATCATCTGAGTTAAAAGAACTAGCGTTTGATTCCAAGCCTCCTGATCTTGCAAATGTAATAACTATACAGATTTCCATATGCGAACTTTGATGCATTATTTGATGCTCTTTGGAACAATAAAAGACCATGTCGCATGAACCACATGGCATTAATTCGCCTTGACTTGGCCTCTTGCAGACATGACAGATATTCGGATTGAAAAACTGACTATAATTATTTTCTGTGTTTAATTCATCTAATTTATACAAGGCGTTAGTTATTTCGGACATAATATACTGATGTAATTAACAGTTATAAAATACTTTAATCGTTATATTTACTTAGAAATAATGCTAGATATATGAGCGAATATAATAATTCTGTACACGATATTTCTGTACACGAATTCAGTTTAGATGTTCATTTGATGATAGCCCAAAGGACACTAATAACAAATTTGTGTATGTTTCTGTATATTATGTAAATAATTGACAATGTATAATGTAACTGGAGAAATAACGAATTTCGAATAGCCATTAGCACATACAATATGTACATGTTAGCACATACAATGTTTACGTTGCGAAAATTACATATATAAACTGTACGACAAGTATTCAGCTATCACCTGTACGACACATGTATATAATAAATTAATAATAATCAATTAATATTAAATATTCTTACATAACAATATACACTATTTATTTACTTTAATAATGTGGTGTGTATATATTAATTAATTAATTAATGTTATCAAAGTAATAATTCTATTTTATATGAACATTTTAATTAAGTTTTGAGAAATTCAGTTATAAATTATATTTTAAACTTCCATTTAATTATATTTTAAACTACCATTTGCAGTATACAAGAACTCGCGCAGTACAGACATAAGTCGTAGAACTTAAGGGAATGCTATATTTAAAAATTTCACCGCAAAATAGTGGCTTTGTCCTTTTAAATTTTATTCACTATGTTAAATAATTTTGATACCTATTCTTATTTTTTATATTTAATGTATACATATTTTCATTTTTAACTACCATAAGATATTGTAACTGAAAATCATTCTCATATTCTGTTTTGATACAAATTTTTTAAAAAATAGGGAAAAGTTTAAACAAAAATTTATTTCTTTAAAGTTCTTATTTCATCAATGTTTAATATGCTACTGTTAGTATAAAATATTGCTTTTAATATTGCTTAATATGCTTAATAGTGTAAAATATTACTTATAATATTTTATAATAAATTAACTTCTTTCTTCCTTTCTTTTAATAGGGTGCTGCGTCAGTAGGTTGATTCGACCTGTGGTATTTGATAAAAGAATGTTTAGATGATGTTATATTTGCGAATACGCAAATGGGCTAAGAACAATCGAAACTTGTTCACATGTGGTATTTATTAAATCGGACGTTTTTATTAAATCGAATGCAAGATATCAACCAAAATTTTAGGATCCACTGCTTTTCTATTGCATCAATATTTTTGATAAAGACCAGATTGCTTGTACGATAAATCCATGCAGTGACGATAATTCAGCTTTGCCTCTTTTTTTCTCGTGGTTCCCAACTGAGATTTTATTTAAATCAGTTAGGTAGAACTTTTTATTATGTTTCTTCCTTTCAACTTGATTTGTACGATTGATTTTTAAATTGCTTGTTTGCGATAACTTAGAATTTAAAAAACAGGAATTCTTGTCACATTCGTTTATTGCACACTGATTACGAAGATCAATTAATGCATGTGCAATAAAACCAATGTTATTTGGATGCAGGGAGGACCAAAATATCTGTCTGTTAACAATCGGTGTTTAGGGAAGATTGGGTTTCGAACAATCTTATAATAGAGCATGGGGAAAATATCGAGAATATGAGAAGTGTACCTTAAGAACAGATTTACGATATAATAAAAATGTAAGTTTCCTAAATTGGTATTTCCTTCTTTTAAATAACAGTTGTTTAGATTTGTATTTTTAACCATGTTGTATACCATCACGATAATCTCCGTTAAAATAAATATTATACATAAGTACATATGCTAATGTTACATATGAAATATGATGATGGTGACTCTACAAGATGTTGAAAAAATCGCATTTCGAAAATTAAAATGTTCCTTTTAGACGCCCTATAAGTGTCCGAATCAAATCAAACCATACTTGTTTGAACTTTCTTAAGATATTTTATTTTCCATTCTTTTTTAAAGCCATGGCTCTTCTCGTTTCAAAGAAAAAAATTTTTTTTTATTTTTTAGCTTGACGACATAATTCCCGAACCACGTGGTAACAGAAGTTAACATAATATGTAATTTAATATTGGATTATGGTGTAACATGTGTGAAAATGAGCCGTATATCGCTGGAGGCATTCTGCCATACAAATAGGCCATGGCCTTTAACCGTTTGAAGCAAATATTTTACCTTACATACAAATTTCTTCAAATTTTTTATACAAGAGATTTTGGGGTCGCTGATTACGAATATGGAGTCAAATTTTAAAACTTTTCAAAATACAAAATGGCGGACCCGACATGAAAATGTAAAAATGATCCCGATCATTAAAAGCGTGTATTCAGGGAAAGTAAAAAGATGGAACAAGAAACTCCCTACATCCTTGTCGTCCTCGTCCTTAGTTCTGAGTAATACTAATTGCGAGATTTCTTAGAGATTTTCTATTTGCCATCACGTTTGACTGCAATTTTGAATTTTGTAATTGTCAACATATTCGTAATTAGCTACCAAAAACTTTTTAACATGAAGTTACATACAAATCAAGTCACCTTCTGACCTACAATACGAATTCTGTGGTCTCAAAAATCTATGATTCTATTACCTAACAAATAGAATATTGTTACCAAACAAACAACATAATTTCAATGATTGTTACATAGTAATTCAATCAATACTAGGAACTTAAATGTGTGATTAAAGTTATATTGGCTTATTGAACAAAATGTAAAAATCATAAATATCCGAGTAGGGAAAGGAGCCATATGAGTATTGCACTATGCCGGAAAGAATTAAAAATAATATTTTATAACACTTTAAAAATATTAGAAGAATCTAACTTAACTATATATATACAAGTTATAATAAACATTAGTAAGTCTTTCTGTGGGAATCTCTTTTCTAAATTTTAAGAAGGTAAGAAAGTAAAGACAACAAAACTTAAAAGTGAATGTATGTTTTAACAACGAAGTGATTATTTATTCGTGAATATTATGAAATTTAATAAAGAATATAATATAATAAAGAATAATGTTGAGAAATTGCGGAAACAATTATAACTAAGTTGCAAATACAATTATGTTCAAGTAGAATATAAAATCACAATGAAAATCAAACTAACGAGAAAATAATCGGATCTTGATTTTCTGTTCGGCTTAGATACATTTTGGCGTGCCAGCTTGGCTGAAGAGCCAAGGCTTAAGACCGTTGACATGGTAATATCTGTGAGGCATTTATCAATAGTCGAACAAAACTTTATCTGCATAACTCTAATCCTATATAAACTGCCCTAAGGCTGAGAAATACAATTGTTAATCCCGCAGCCCTGCGAGCGAGTTCGAGTGGAAAAGAGTAGTATAATAAATAAATGTAGCCTCGAAAGCTGTTTCCAAGCTGAAGGTAATTCCGAAAGCTTTTATATATTAACTGAATTTCTTGTTGTCTCGCTTGTATTATATAAATTCAGAAGGACACAATTAAATAAGCATTAGGATAACAAATTCACTCGTCTCGTAGTTTCTGCACGGTTTGCAATTCCGAAATTTATTTTCTACAGAACGCAGTTCTCTAGGAACATTCATAACACCTTGTATCTTGTTTATGCTTTCTTCTGCTTTATTCTGTAACGCAGTGGTAAAAAAAAACGGACATATACGATCTTGTGTTCTGACAAAAATATCTAACAGTGAACTCCCCACACTAAATTCTGCTTGAAACACAATAATGATATTTGCTTGCATATACAAATTTGTGCGCACATAATCATCACATGGCACACGTGCTTTTCCAAAGTATAGTTGCCTCTTTGATCGAGCGCATCTGCTGCAAACATTGTAGTATTTATTTATTCATGTCAAAATCCGGTTCTGGTGCTACCAATATAATTCGTAATTCCATAATTTTTTTTGCGAATTTGTATATTCATTAAAAATATGTATTAAAATCTCCCATGATGGTAAGCCCGTTACATCTGCTGAATTCGCTTCTATGATATGTACGATAAAGAAATAACTTCTTTATCTTGTGTATGTTTATATTCTGGTCTATAAATCTGTGCTTCTTCAAATAAATTTGCGAATTCCTTTAATCCGTAAAATAGGGTCAGTGGAGCTGATATTAAATTCGACAATGTGTAAGAATACCCATTCCAAGCTCCCATGCTTGAATTGTGTTCATGAATGTATTGATTAACAAATGTAATCATGTCATCAAAATCTATGTATATTTCAGTAAGCTTCATTTTTGGTAGATACGTTTTTATATTATAGTTGCATGTATTTAAAATATTGAAATTTAGGAATACCAATAAATCCGTGCACATAGACTCGTGTTTTTCTTTAAAATCCAATTGGTGCTCGTCACAATAATTGGCGGAATAGCAGGTCCTGCAAGTTCGCAGACTAATCTGTTGATGACAAATGAGACACGATTTTCATCTCGTACGGCTTTAGATTACGTGATATTCTCATCTGAATTTTTTGCATAAATGTCTTTCGAGATGACCTCCATTCATTATCTGAGTTAAAAGGACCTGCGTTCGATTCCAAGTCTTCTGTTCTTGCAATTTTAATAACTGCACAGACTTCCATATGCGAGCTTTGATCCATTATTTGATGCTCCTTGGAACAATAAAAGACCATGCCGCACGAATCACACGGCATTAATTCGCCTTGACTCAGCTTTTTGCAGACATGACAGATATTCGGATTGAAAAACTAATTATAAATATTTTCTGCGTATAATCCTTCGCATATAAACAAGCATTTAGATATATACGACATAATTTATATATATACTAATTTGACAGTTACGAAATACTTTAACTGTTATATTCACTTAGAAAAATGCTGCATATTTGAGCGAAGATAATAATTCGGTACACGAAAATTCTATACACAAATTTAGTTTAGATATTTAGTTGATGATAGCTCGAAGGACACTAATAATAGATTTGAATACGTTTTTGAATACTCTTTGATTTGTTGATAATGTATATTATAACTGACGGAATAACGATTTTCAAATATCCATTAGCACATACAATATATACATGTGTACTTTGCCAATATTATACATATAAACTGTACAACAAAGCATCAGCATTCTATTATCATGACACATAATATATAATAAGTTTAATAATGAAGTAATTAATATTAATTATATTTACACAAAAATGTACTATTTATTTATATAAATAATGTAGTTTGTATATATTAATTAATTAGTGTTATCAAAGAAATAATTCTATTTTATATGAATATTTAAATTAAGTTTTGAGAAATTCAGTTATAAATTATATTTTAAACTTCCATTTAATTATATTTTAAACTTCCGTTTGCAGTATTCAAGTATACGCGCAGTACAGACACAAGTCGTAGAACTTAAAGGAATGCTATACTTTTAAATTTCACAGAAAAATACTAATTTTCTTCTTTTAAATGTTATTTACTGTGTTAAATAATTTTAATACAAATTTTTATTTTCTATATTTAATGTATATATATTTTCATTTTTAACATACCATAAAATATTGTAACTGAGAATCATTCTGATATTCTGTTTTAATGTACTTTTTGTAAAAAGATAGGGAAACTTTAAACAACAATTTATCCAAGATTTGAGGCTTTTACGGCCATTGATACAATGTCTAGGTATAGCTTCCGGAATGGAGCCGTGTCTTGAATCAGCGATATGCCGACGTTTCGCAAACGTTGCAGTTTGCATCATCAGAGCTGAGAACTCTGATACTGAGCTCCCTTGGGTAAAGGTAGTCCTTATATGCCCCCCCCCCCTTTGTGTAGATGGTGTTTAGGGAGTAGGGGACGAGGCTTGAATTCAGCCAAACAGCGTATTTTAATTGATCAGCTGGTCAATTAAAAAACCGGGAGGGCAGTATGCCAAATAGAGTTTACTTGCATATCTTTGTCTCGGTTGAGGTTGTTGGGACGTTTTAAAATTTCTAGACCTTCACGATGTTTTCAGGCAAAATAACTCTGTGAGTTTTTTGTCCTTTTGAACAATTTGTCCTTTTAATCGTCTTAAACTTGTTATTTAATTAAAGTTTGAAATATGTCTATTAGTATGTAACATTGTTTTTATTATGCTTAATATGCATAATTGTATAAAACATTGTATATTATATTTTATAATAATTTAACTTTATCTTCTTTTCTTTCAATAGAGTGCTGCGTCAATAGATTAATTCATTCTGTGGACGAATTAAATTATTCATTTGATGGAAAAATATTTAGATGGCGTATTACTTGCGAATACACGAATGGACTGAGAACAATCGGGTCCTGTTCACACGTAATATTATATTAAATCTAACTTTTACAAGATGTCAGTCAAAAATTTTGAGAACTGCTGCTTTTCTATTTTTGATGAAGACCAGATTGCATCGACGATCAATCACACAGTGACATATATTTAGTTTCGTCTCTTTTTCCATCGTCGTTCACTAGCGATTTTATTTAAATCAGTTAAATAGGATTTGTTATTATGTTTCTTCCTTTCACATTCATCGGTTTTTTTTTTAATTGCTCGTTTGCGATAACTTAGAATTCGGAAAACAGGAATTCTTTTCACATTCGTTTTGCACACTGATTACGAAGATCAATTAATACATATACTATAAAACCAATGTTATTTAGGTGCAGAGAGGACCAAAATATCTGTGTGTTAATAATCGGTGTGTACGAAAAATTAGGTTTTGGACAAAGGTTCTCATAAGAGAGCGTGGACAAAATATCGAGAATATAAGAACTATACGTTGAGAACAATTTTACAATACATTAAAAATGTAAGTTTCCCAAATTCGCTTCCTTAAAGAAGAAAACTATTATGATGATCTCCCTTAAAATAAATATTACACATGAGAATGTAGTGATGTTGTGTATGAAATATGGTGGTGACTCTATAGGATGTTGAAAAAATGGCGTTTCGAAAATTGAAATGTTTCTTTGGGAACCCCTATAAATGTCAAATCAAATCAACCATACTTGTCTGAACCTTCCTAAGATACTTTATTTTCCACACATTTTTTAGAGCCATAGCCCTTCTCGTTTTGGAGAAAAAAATTCTTTTTGATTTTTGAGCTTGACGACATAACTCCGGAACTACGTTTCCGGTAACAGTAATTACATGATACGTAATTTAAGTTAAAGTTGGATCATGGAGTAAGATGTGTGAAAATGAACTCGATATCGCTGGGGACATTATACCACACAAAAACAGGCCACGGCCTTTAACACTTTGAAGCACACATTTTTCCTTACATACGAATTTCTTGAACCTTCGTATACAACGGTTTTTGGGGTCGCAGATTACAAATATGGAGTCAGGTTTTAAACATTTCCAAAATTCAAAATAGCGGACCCGACATGAAAATGTAAAAATGATTGCGATCACTAAAAATCGTGTATTCAATCAAAGTAGAAAATGGAACAAGAAACTCGCTACGTCCTCGCCGATAGTTCTGGATAATAATAAAAGTGAGATTTCTTAGAAATTTTCTATTTGCCAACATGTTTGCCTGCAATTTTGAATTTTATAATTGTCATATTCGTAATCAGCTACCAAAAACTTTCCAACATAAAGTTATATACAAATCAAGTCACTTTTTGATCTCCATTTCAAATTCTTTGATCTCAAAAGACTCCGACACTATTACCTAACACATAAAATATTGTTACCTAACAACATAATTGTTAAAAAACAACATAATTTTAGTAGTTGTTACATAGTGATTCATGTACTAGGAACTTAAATGTCTGATTAAAGTCATATTGGCTTAATAAAAAATATGTAAAAATTATAAAAAACAGAGTAGGGAAAGGTGCCGTATGGCTATGGCACTATACCGCACAGGGTTAAAAGTAATATTTTATGACATTATAAAAATATTACAAGAATCTAACTTAACTATAAATATACACAAGTTATAATAAACATTAGTATGTCTTTTTGTGGGAGTCTCCTTTCTAAAGTTTAAGAAGGTAAGAAGGTAAATATAATATACTTGACAATGAATGTATGTTCTATCAACGAAATGATTATTTATTCGTGAATATTATAAAATTTACAAATAATAAAGAATAATGTTGAAATATTGCAGAAGCAATCATAACTAAGTTGCAAATACAATTATGTTAAGTAGAATATAAAATCATGATGCAAATCAAACTAACGAGAAAATAATCGGATCTTGATTTTCTGTGCGGATTAAGGTACATTTTGTCGTTCCAGCTCGGCTGAAGAGCCATGGCTTAGGACCATTGACATTGTAATATCTGTGAGACTCTTATCAATAGCCGAACAAAACTTTATCTGCGTAACTTAAACTCCATATAAACGGCCTTCAGGCTGAGAAATATAATTGTTAATTTCGCGGCCCAGCGGACGAGTTAGAGTGAAAAAGGGAAGTATATGTAGCCTCGAAACCGTTCCCAAACTAAAGGTAATTCCGAAAGCTGTTATATATTTATTGAATTTCTTGTTGTCTCGTTTGTATTATATAAATTCAGAAGAACACAACTAAATGAGCATTACGATAACAAATCTCACCAGTCTCGTAATTTCTGTATGGTCTACAACTCCGAAATTTATTTTCTACAGAACGCTGTTCTCTAGGAACATTCATGACTTCTTGTATCTTCCTTATGCTCTCTTCTGCTTTATTTTGTGACGAAGTAGTGAAAAAAAACGGACATGTACGATCTTGTGTTGCGATGAAAATATCTAACAGTGAACTCCCCATACTAAATTCTGCTTGAAATGCAATAATGATATTTGCTTGCTTATACAGATTTGTACGCAAATAATCCTCATATGACACATGTCCAAGATATAGGTGCTTATTTGCTTCGACGCATCGGCTGCAAACATCGTAATATTCATTCCTGTCACAATCCGTTTCTGGTGCTACCAATATAACTTTTAATTCCATAATTTTCTTTTGCGAACATGTATGTTTATTGAAAATATGTAAGAAAATCTCCCATGATGGTAAGCCCGTTATATCTACTGAACTCGCACCTATGATATGTACGATAAAGATAAAACTTTTGCGGCGTTTAATAAGTTTATATTCTTCTCTATAAATCTGTGCTTCTTCAAATAAATTTGCGAATTCCTTCAACCCGTAATATAGTGTCAATGGTGCTGACATATAATCCGAATATATGTAAGAATTATCGTTCCAATCTCCCATCTTTGCATATTGTTTATTAATATGTTGATTAACAAATGTAATCATATCATCAAAATCTATTGTTATATTGGCAAACTTCATAGCTGGTGGATACAAATTTAAATCAAATTTTTTACTTAAAATATTCAAATTCAGAAATACCAATAAATCCGTACACATTGACTCGTGTTTTTTGTTAAAATCCCTTTGGTGCTCATCACAATAATTGGCGGAATAACAGATGTTGCATGTTCGCAGATTAATCTGTTGGTGACAAATGAGACATGATTTTGCACACATTATTATCTCTTTCTCGTACGGCTTTAGATCACGTGTCATTTTTATCTGAATTCCTTGCATAAATGTCTTTCGAGATGACCTCCATTCATCATCTGAGTTAAAAAAACGAGCGTTCAATTCCAAGTCTTCTGTTCTTGCAAATGTAATAAATAGACAGACTTCCATATGCGAGCTTTGATGCATTATTTGATGCTCTTTGGAACAATAAAAGACCATGTCGCATGAACCACATGGCATTAATTCGCCTTGATTCGGCCACTTGCAGACATGACAGATATTCGGATTGAAAAACTGATTATAATTATTTGCTGTGTCTAATCCACCAGATATACACAAGGTTTTAGTTACATCACACATTATATACTCGTGTAATTGACAATTATCAAAAACTTTACTCGTTATATTCACTTAAAAATAATGCTAGATATATATGCGAAGGTAATAATTCTGTACACGACAATTCTGTACACGAATTCAGTTTAGATGTTGAATTGAGTATAGCCCGAAGGACACTAATAACAGATTTGTGTATGTTTTCGAATATAATGTAATTTATCGACAATGTATATTGAAACTGGCAAAAGGACGAATTTCGAATAGCCATTGGCACGGACAATATGTACATGTGTACATTGCGAATATTATAAATATATATTGTACGACAATTATTCAGCTATCAACCGTACCACAAATATATGTAATAAATTAATAACAAATAACAGATATTAAATGAACTTGCAAAAAAAATATATACTATTTATTTAAATAAAATGGTGTATATATATTAATTAATGTTAAATAATAATTCAAAGAAATAATACTATTTTATATGAATATTTAAATTAAGTTTTGAGAAGTTCAGTTATAAATTATATTTTGAACTCTTCCGTTTAATTATATTTTCAATTTTCGTTTGCAGTATACAAGTACTAGCGCAGTACAGACACAAGTCGTAAAACTTAAAGGAATGCTATACTTGAAAATTTCACCAAAAAATACTGATTTTCTTCTTATAAATTTTATTCACTGTGTTAAATAACTTTGATACCAATTTTTATTTTATATATTTAATGTATACATATTTTCATTTTTAACATACCATAAGATGTTGTAGCTGAGAATCACTTAACAGAATGATATTCTGTTTTAATATACTTTTTCTAAAAAATAAGGAAAAGTTTAAACAAAAATTTATCTCTTTAACCTTGGCTTTTTTATCAATGTTTGATATATGTCTATTAGTATAAAATATTGCTTTTAATGCTTAATATGATTAATAGTATGAAACATTACTTATAATATTTTATAATAATTTGTCTTCCTTCTTCCTTTCTTTCAATGCGTCAATAGGTCAATAGGTTGATTCATCCTGATATTTGATGGAAGAATGCTTAGATGGCATTATATTTCCGAATACGGAAATGGGTTAAGAATAATCGGATCCTGTTGACACGTGATATTATATTAAATCTAACGTTTACAAGATATCACTCAAAAAATTTGTGACCTACTGCTTTTCTATTTTTGATGAAGGCCAGATTGCTTTGACGATAAATCTATACAGTGACGATAATTGAGCTTTGCCTCTTTTTTTCATTGCGGTTCACAAATGTGATTTTATTTAAACCAGTTAAATCAGTAGGATTTTTTCATTTGTTTCTTCCTTTTAACTTGATCGTACGATTATTTTTTAATTGCTTGTTTGCGATAACTTAGAATTCGAAGAACAGGGATCCTTGTCACATTCGTTTTTTGTGCACTTATTACGAAGATTAATTAATATGCAATAAAACCAATGTTATTTAGATGCAAAGAGTATTAAAATATTTTTCTATTAATAATCGTTGTTTATCGAAAATCGGATTTCGGTAATAGAATGCGGACAAAATATCGAGAATATAAGAAGTATAAGTTAAGAACAGTTTTACGATACATTAAAAATGTAAGTTTCCCAAATTGATATTCACTTCTTTTAAAAAAGTAAATCTTTAATTTTTTGTATTTTTAACTATATTATACCATCACGATAAGCTCTGATAAAATCAATGTTATACATGAGTACGTAGTGATGTTGCATATAAAATATTATATGATGGTGGCGGCTCTACAGGATGTTGAAAAAATCGCGTTTCAAAAATTGAAATGTTTCTTTTGGACACTCTATAAGTGTCCGAATCAAATCAAATCATACTTGTTTCAACCTTCCTCAGGTATTTTATTTTCCATACTTTTTTCAAAGCCATAGCTCTTCTCGTTTCGAAGAAAAAAATTCTTTTTTGATTTTTGAGCTTGACGACATAACTCCGGAACCACGTGATAACAGAAGTTAACATGATATGTAATTTAATATTGGATCATGGTATAATATGTGTGAAAATGAGCCCTATATCGCTGGGGGCATCCTATCAAGCAAAAACAGGCCACATCCCTTAACCGTTTCAAGCATACCTTACATACGAATTTCTTGAAACCTTGTATACAGGGAATTTTGGGGTCGCTGATTACGAATATGGAGTCAAATTTTCAAAATTTTCAAAATTCAAAATGGCAGACCCAACATGAAAATGTAGAAATGATTCCGATCACTAAAAATCGTGTATTCAAAGGAAGTAAAAAATGGAACAAGAAACTTGCTACGTCCTCGTCGATAGTTCTGGTAATAATAAAAGTGAGATTTCTTAAAGATTTTCTATTGTCATCATGTTTGCCTACAATTTTTAATTTTATAATTGTCATATTCGTAATCAGCTACCCAAATACTTTCTAACATAAAGTTATATACACATCAAGTCACTTTTTGACATCCATTTCAAATTCTTTGATCTCAAAAAACTCCGACACTATTACCTAACAAATAATATATTGTTACCTAACAAACAACATAATTTTAGTAGTTGTTACATAGTTATTCATGTTCTAAGAACTTAAATGTGTGATTAAAGTCATATTGGCTTAATAAAAAATATGTAAAAATTATAAAAAACAGAGTAGGGAAAGGTGCCGTATGGCTATGGCACTATACCGCACAGGGTTAAAAGTAATATTTTATGACATTATAAAAATATTACAAGGATCTAACTTAACTATATATATACAAGTTATAATAAACATTAGTATGTCTTTTTGTGGGAGTCTCCTTTCTAAAGTTTAAGAAGGTAAGCAGGTAAATATAATATACTTGACAATGAATGTATGTTCTATCAACGAAATGATTATTTATTCGTGAATATTATAAAATTTACAAATAATAAAGAATAATGTTGAAAAATTGCGGAAGCAATCATAACTAAGTTGCAAATACAATTATGTTAAGTAGAATATAAAATCACGATGAAAATCAAAATTACGAGAAAATAATCAAATCTTGATTTTCTATTCGGCTTAGGGTACATTTCGCCGTTCTAGCTCGGCTAAAGAGCCATGGCTGAGGACCGTTGACATTGTAATATCTGTGAAGCTCTTATCAATAGCCAAACAAAACTTTATCTGCGTAACTTAAACTCCATATAAACGGCCCTAAGGTTGAGAAATATAATTGTTAATTCCGCGGCCCAGCGGACGAGTTAGAGTGGAAAAGGGAAGTATATGTAGCCTCGAAACCGTTCTCAAACTAAAGGTAATTCCGAAAGCTGTTATATATTTATTAAATTTCTTGTTGTCTCGTTTGTATTATATAAATTCAGAAGAACACAACTAAATGAGCATTACGATAACAAATCTCACCAGTCTCGTAATTTCTGTATGGTCTATAACTCCGAAATTTATTTTCTACAGAACGCTGTCTAGGAACGTTCAAGACTTCTTGTATCTTCCTTATGTTCTCTTCTGCTTTATTTTGTGACGCTGTGGTGAAAAAAAACGGACATGTACGATCTTGTGTTGCGATGAAAATATCTAATAGGGGACTCCCCATACTAAATTCTGCTTGAAATGCAATAATGATATTTGCTTGCTTATACAAATTTGTGCGCATATAATCCTCATATGACACACTTGCATTTCCAAGATATAGCTGCTTATTTGTTCGGACGCATTCTCTGCAAACATCGTAATATTCATTCCTGTCACAATCCGTTTCTGGTGCTACCAATATAACTTTTAATTCCATAATTTTATTTTCCGAAAATTTATGTTTATTAAAAATATGTAAGAAAATTTCCCATGATGGTAAACCCGTTATATCTACTGAAATCGCACCTATGATATGTACGATAAAAAGAAAACTTCTGCTGCGGTTAATAAGTTTATGTTCTTCTCTATAAATCTGTGCTTCTTTAAATAAATTTGCGAATTCCTTTAACCCGTAATATAGTGTCAATGGTGCTGACAAATAATCTGAATATATGTAAGAATTATCATTCCAAACTCCCATCTTTGCATAATGTTTATTAATATATTGATCAACAAATGTAATCATATCATCAAAATCTATTGTTATTCTGGTAAACTTCATAGTTTGTGGATACGTTTTTAAATTTAAGTAGCTTTTATTTAAGATATTTAAATTCAACAATACCAGTAAATCTGTACACATTGTCCCGTGTTTTTTTTTTAAATAAAATTGGTGCTTATCACAATAATTGGCGGAATAACAGATGTTGCATGTTCGCAGATTAATCTGTTGGTGACAAATAAGACATGATTTTGCGCACATTATTATCTCTTTCTCGTACGGCTTTAGATCACGTGTCATTTTTATCTGAATTCCTTGCATAAATGTCTTTCGATATGACCTCCATTCATCATCTGAGTTAAAAGAACTATCGTTTGATTCCAAGTCTTCTGTTCTTGCAATTTTAATAACTATACAGACTTCTATATGCGAGCTGTGATGGATTATTTGATGCTCCTTGGAACAATAAAAGACCATGCCGCACGAATCACATGGCATTAATTTGCCTTCATTCGGCCTCTTGCAGACATGACAAATATTCGGATTGAAAAACTCATTATAATTATTTTCTGTACATAATTCATGATATAAATACAAGGTTTTAGTTATTTCAGACATTATATACTCGTGTAATTGACAGTTATTGATCACTTTAATCGTTATATTCACTTAGAAATAATGCTGGATATATGAGCGAAGGTAATAATTCTGTACACGACAATTCTGTACACGAATTCAGTTTAGATGTTGAGTTGAGTATAGCCCGAAGGACACTAATAACAGATTTGTGTATGTTTTCGAATATTATGTGATTTATTGACAATATATATGTAAACTGGCGAAAGAATGAATTTCGAATAGCCATTAGCACATACGATATGTACATGTGTACCTTGCGAATATTATAAATATAAATTGTACGACAATTATTCAGCTATCATCCATAGCACACATATATATAATAAATTAATAACAAATAAATGATATTAAATGAACTTACATAAAAATATGTACTATTTATTTAAATAAGGTGGTGTGAATATATTAATTAATGTTATCAAAGTAATAATTCTATTTTATATGAATATTTAAATTAAGTTTTGAGAAGTTCAGTTATAAATTATATTTTGAACTCTTCCGTTTAATTATATTTTCAATTTTCGTTTGCAGTATACAAGTACTAGCGCAGTACAGACACAAGTCGTAAAACTTAAAGGAATGCTATACTTTAAAATTTCACCGAAAAATACTGATTTTCTTCTTATAAATTTTATTTACTGTGTTAAATAACTTTGATACCAATTTATATTTTTTAAATTTAATGTATACATATTTTCATTTTTAACATACCATAAAATGTTGTAGCTGAGAATCACACAACAGAATGATATTCTGTTTTAATATACTTTTTCTAAAATATAGGGAAAAGTTTAACAAAAATTTGTCTCTTTAACCTTGGCTTTATTATCAATGTTTTTGATATATGTCTATTAGTATAAAATATTGTTTTTAATGCTTAATATGATTAATGGTATAAAACATTACTTATAATATTTTATAATAATCTTCTCTCTTCCTTTCTTTCAATGCGTCAATAGGTCAGTAGGTTGATTCGTCCTGATATTTGATGGAAGAATGCTTAGATGGCGTTATATTTCCGAATACGAAAATGGGCTAAGAACAATCGGATCCTGTTCACACGTGATATTATATTAAATCTAACATTTGCAAGATATCAATCAAAAAATGTGTGACCTACTGCTTTTCTATTTTTGATGAAAGCCAGATTGCTTTGACGATAAATCTATACAGTGACGATAATTGAGCTTTGCCTCTTTCTTTCATTGCGGTTCCCAAATGTGATTTTATTTAAATCAGTTAAATCAGTAGAATTTTTTCTTATGTTTCTTCCTTTCAACTTGATCGTACGATTATTTTTTAATTACTTGTTTGCAATACTTTAGAATTCGAAAAACAGGAATCCTTGTCACATTCTTTTTCGGCGCACTGATTGCGAAGATCAATTAATCGCATATGCGATAAAACCAATGTTATTTAGATGCAAAAAGTACCTAAATATCTTTCTATTAATAATCGTTATCTATCGAAAATCGGATTTCGGTCATAGAGTGTGGACAAAATATCGAGAATATAAGAAGTATAAGTTAAAAACAGTTTTACGATACATTAAAAATGTAAGTTTCTCAAACTGACATTCACTTCTTTTAAAAAAGTAAATCTTAAATTTTTTGTGTTTTTAACTATATTATACCTTCACGATAAGCTCTGATAAAATCAATGTTATACATGAGTACGTAGTGATGTTGCATATAATATATTATATGATCTTGGCGACTCTACAGGATGTTGAAAAAATCGCGTTTCAAAAATTGAAATGTTTCTTTTGGACGCTCTATAAGTGTCCGAATCAAATCAAATCATACATGTTTGAACCTTCCTAAGGTATTTTATTTTCCATATTTTTTCCAAACCATAGCTCTTCACGTTTCGAAGAAAGAAATTCTTTTTTTGATTTTTGAATTTGACGACATAACTCCGGCGATGGTAACAGAAGTTAACATGATATGTAATTTAATATTGGATCATGGTGTAACATGTGTGAAAATGAGCCCTATATCGCTGGGGACATCCTGCCAAGAGAAAACAGGCCACGGCCTTTAACCATTTCAAGCATACATTTTACCTTACATACGAGAGTATACAGGGAATTTAGGGTCGCTGGTTACGAATATAGAGTCAAATTTTGAAAATTTTCAAAATTCAAAATGGTGGACGCGACATGAAAATGTAAAAATGATTCCGATCACTAAAAATCGTGTATTCAAAGGAAGTCAAAAATGGAACAAGAAACTCGCTACGTCCTCGCCGATAGTTCTGGATAATAATAAAAGTGAGATTTCTTAGAGATTTTCTATTTGCCAACATGTTTGCCTGCAATTTTGAATTTTATAATTGTCATATCAGTAATCAGTTACCAAAAACTTTCCAACATAAAGTTATATACAAATCAAGTCACTTTTTGACTTCCATTTCAAATTCTTTGATCTCAAAAAGCTCCGACACTATTACCTAACAAATAAAATATTGTTACATAACAACATAATTTTAGTAGTTGTTACAAAGGTGCCGCATGACTATGGCACTATATCGCACAGGGTTAAAAGTAATATTTTATAACATTATAAAAATACTAGGAGAATTTAACTTAACTATATATATATGTACAAGTTATAATAAACATTAGTATGTCTTTTTGTGGGACACTTTTCTAAATTTTAAAAAGGTGAGAAGGTAAATATAATATACTTGAAAATGAATGTATGTTCTATCAACAAAGTGATTATTTATTCGTGAATATTATCAAATTTACAAATAATAAAGAGTAATGTTGAAAAATTGCGGAAGCAATCATAACTAAGTTGCAAATACAATTATGTTAAGTAGAATATAAAATCACGATGAAAATCAAACTAACGAGAAAATAATCGGATCTTGATTTTCTGTGCGGCTTAGGGTATATTTTGTCGTTCCAGCTCGGCTGAAGAGCCATGGCTTAGGACCGTTGACATTGTAATATCTGTGAGGCTCTTATCAATAGCCGAACAAAACTTTATCTGCGCAACTTAAACTCCATATAAACGGCCCTCAGGCTGAGAAATATAATTGTTAATTTCGCGGCCCAGCGGTCGAGTTAGAGTGGAAAAGGGAAGTATATGTAGCCTCGAAACCGTTCCCAAACTAAAGGTAATTCTGAAAGTTGTTATATATTTACTGAATTTCTTT